GCGTAGAAGTACGCGACAGTGCCGTGGAAAGCAGCCCTAATTCCACAGGCGAAATTCTCAAGCAAAATATTTCGCCTGCTTCTTTTGAAAAAACGAAACACCTTGTTGTCCTTGTAATATTCATATATATGCGCTTTTATTCAATAACAAAAGAGAATTATTAGGGTTGAAGCTTTTTTGATACACCCTGTATATGGTAAATATTTCAAAACCGTATTATACCTTCGCTTCTTTCGCTACTTTCAGGAGTTTCAGCCATTGAACAAGAACTATCAATAAAAAATTGGGAATTATAATTTAGTACTAATTAAATGAGTTACAACAATCTCTAAAATATGTATGAAAATGTGTCAATTCAAATTTATTTACCTTGCTGTATCAAGACAATAGACAAAAAGGACAATTGCTTACAGAACCAAACAATATATAAATAGCAACTTGGTAGTAAAACCGGTTATAACTGGTTCGATTATCCATTTTGCCCTATTATTATCGTGTCGTCATTCGTGTCGTCATCATCACAGATTAATTTGTGTCATTCAGTGTTCATTCCTCAGTGGCCGGTCCTCCAGGAATTCCACCACCCCAAGCACCCCCGCGCGCTCGCCTTTATTCAACTGATCTCTATACAATAACTGAATGCAACGTTATATATTTTACTATTAAAATGCCCGGGTACGAGGCTGTGAGTGACATCTTTTGCTGTTTTGCAGTACTAACTTCTGTAACTTCTGTCTAATAAAGTTATTACAAATATTGGATTTATTTACTAAAAAAGTATAGAAAAGGTAGGCAAACATGTCATTATTTATTTCAGCTAATATTAATCAGGGCAACGAAATTTTCAGCCCGCAATCTAGAGGGAAGCAGTGTGCTTTTATAAGTATATCGGCGCTTTTAACAGCCCGCTACATGCCATTAATAAATTGGACAAGTACAACAGTTGATAATCTTTTGATTCTTGGAGATGGAATGTATTTGCAATGTCTAAATGCTGGTCTTATTTTAGCAAACACGACAGAAACGTTTTTGTCTGTTGATGAGTTACCCAAATTTGTCAACATCTCGTATAGAAATAATGAACTTGCTTTTGGCATATGCTTACCCGAACATGAGCACCGAACTCAAGCCCATATGCCTCGTGTTTCGCCAAAACCGCTTGAAAAACAAATAGCCTATTGAGGCAACTGAACCAAATGAAATACCCATTGTGGCACAGCCTATTAAGGCAACTGAACCAAATGAAATGCCCATTGTGGTACAGCCTATTAAGGCAACTGAACCAAATGAAATACCCATTGTGGTACAGCCTATTATGGATGGAAATAAAAATTATTCACTGTTTGAAGTGCATGATTATGAAGATCATTTTGCCCAATTTCATAACACAACAATTGAAAAAAAAAATTTGTTATTTACATTTTGAACAAGAACGTCAAGGTCTTGTTATATCAAATCAAGATATTGATTTGCACTACTATGATATTCACTCTGCTCTACTAGCGACTTTTTCTAACAATATTCACTATGCCATCCTTATTTTAAAAGGTTACATGATGGCCTTAATTAAGCAAAATGACTGTTTCTATCTCTGTGATTCACATTCCAGAGATTATATTGGCATGCCTTGTGAAAATGGCACTGCCGTTGTTATGAAGTTTGATGATATTTCATGTCTAGAACAACATATATATTCTTTGTCAGTAGAACTACATTCTAATGTATTTGAACTTGTCCCTGTTCAATTAATTGATTTTGAGCCTGAAGATGAAAGACATCAAGGAAACAGGAAACGAAAACTTCCAGTGGAAAGTGATTCTGAAACAAACAAAGATTTGAAAAAAGACAAACAAAGTAGACCTAACAAAAATTATGAGTCAAAAAGAAAAATGTTATTGAGAGAAAAAAACAGTGAGAGACAGAAAAGGCTTGCCAAAGCTAATAATTATGAGAGAGAAAAAATTAGTTGAAACTGATAGCCAGAGGCAATCAAGACTTGAGAGAAATCGTCTTTCTCAGAGACGTTCAAGACAAAGAAAATTACCTGCTCAGAGTGAAATCAGTCAGCATGATTATTTGACACAATTCATCAATACTCAATATGGTGGTTTTGAAAGTCAATCATGGGCTAAGGCCAATATTAATAAGTTTTACAAGTCAGTACAGTACAATGTCTGTCAATGCACAGTATGTTATGAAGCATGGCCTTTAAAATCGACACCAAAACAACCTTATGTTTGTTCAAGGTGTTCTAGAGATAAGAAAAATCCTAAAAAAATGTTAGTTGAAAACTCAATGATACCATCATCTGTACCAGAGGAACTAAAAAATTTAACCCAAATTGAGGAAATGTTGATTGCTTGTGCTCTACCAATAATAAGAGTATACATTAAACCCGGTGGCCAACAAGGTTTTTCGTGGGCATTGTATCAAACTACCTCAAAATGTCAGAGAACTTGCAACATGCTTGCCCAGATATCCAAAAGATCTGGCTGTAATTATAGTCAAAGTGAAAGGTAGAGATAACACATTTAAAGATGTGATTGTGCGAAAGCCAAAAGTAAAAAATGCCTTACTTTGGCTTATTAATAATAATCCTCATTATTCTGATTTGACAATAAATGAATGTGCATTGAATACTTTACCAGAAAATGGTGTTCCTGCTGATCTCATGTCTGTTGAGACTGAAGATGACATTGTATTAGATAATGATTCTCCTGCTGCTGTAGGTCCTCCCACTGACAATCCTCCTGAGGATCTTGTTTATACTGGCTCAACTGAAATGATCAGTTTTTTACCTGTTGGTGAACAACAACAGCAGGAAATAGAAGCTATTCAAAATCAGCTTTCAGGAAAGGAACCAATATCTTGGCCATCACATGACAATGAACCTCTCAATGAGTATCAGATTTCTCATCTTGCCACGATGGCTTTCCCAACATTATTCCCTGATGGTAAAGGGGATCCTACTAATGAAAGTCTTCTGAGATATGTCCCTCTACAAGAACGGATTAAGCATCTTTTAAAATTTGCTGAATGTATTGATGGTAAGTGGGTGTACCGGTTTGCCAGCCATCCCAGATTTTCATATTGGGCTTTCAATATGATTCAACGAAAGCGTATTCTACAGCAAAGTGGAATTTTCCTAAAACAAAATCCAGGTGAGGCACATCTCACCATTGATGAACTACGTGAAATGGCTGACAGTAACAATGCCAATTCATTCATGTCCAAAATGTCTAGATATGTTGGCAATATTGCTGGTAGTAATGCATATTGGAATAGAGTAAGAGATGAGTTGAAGGCTATTATAACCAATGTTAGAGCACCAACATTATTTTTTACCTTTTCTTCTGCTGACATGCACTGGCCAGAGCTTCATGCTTTATTTAAAGCTCATGCTTTATTTAAAGCAGAAGGAAACGAAAATCAAAATGATAATGAAACCAGTGTGGCAAGGCGAAATAATGTTATCAACAATCCTCATATTGTTGATTGGTTTTTTACCCAAAGATTAGAAAGCTTTGTGAAACACTGGCTTTATGATACACTCGGTGCAAAATGGCACTGGTTTAGATATGAATACCAAGGTAGAGGTAGTATTCATTGTCATGGTACAGCTAAACTAAATAATGACCCAGACTTGTGTCAGCTGACTCAGACTGCTTTGAAAGGATTCTTGGCACAGAAAGTAAAAGATGAAAGTCATCTTTCTGACACTGTTGAATTAAACCAAGATATTGAAGCTGGTCATCAAGCTGCCAACACTGTATGTCAATATGTTGATTGGTTGCTTTCAACTATCAATCCAAATCCACCAGATGCCAACATGTGGATAAGACCTGAAGTTCATCCATGCCAGCGAAAACATTCTGATGTTTCCGAACATGATAAACAATCAGACTATGTTGATCTGTTAAACATGGTACAACGACACACTCGTTGTAGTACAGGTTATTGCCTTAGGAAAAAGTAAAATGATTCTGAATTAAAATGTAGATTTCATTTTCCTTTTGAAGATTGTCCGGAGACAAAACTAGAGTTTGAACATGTTCATAATTCAGGTCAAAATGAGCATTATCGAGCCAAAATAGTTACTAAGAGGAATGATGCCAGAGTTAACAATCACCAACAAATTCAACTGCAAGGTTGGAGAGCTAATTGCGATATACAAGTTGTAATTGATCATTACGCTTGTGTTGAGTATTTAACGAAGTATGCCGCTAAAGGTGAACCAAGGTCACCTATATTGAAACAAACATTTAATTCAGTAATGCAAAATATTGACAATAACACTGACCCACATAGAGCTATTAAGAAGTAGTAATGAAATCTCTTGGTGAAAGGGATTATGCTGCTCAGGAGACAATGCATCACTTGATGTCTCTCAAACTTCACAGTTCATCATTTAAAGTCATACCAGTTAGTCTGAATGGCTCATGCAGAGTACGGGAAATCACATCTATTGACAACGGTGAATCATGCACTGATTACTCACTATTAGATGTGTATGCAAACCGTGAGCAATATAGTAGCTCGCTTGAAGTAATGAGTATGAATTTGTTAACGACAAATTGACTAAGTTACCCGAGAATGTTGTACCAAGAATATTTCCCACATTTTCTCCTAATCCAAAGGGACCCAATTTTCCCTCTTACTGCAAATATCAGCTGTTGAGGTACAAGCCTTGGAAATCATCCCAAAATAATGCATGGGATAACCATGAGCCATCCGATGAGATTTTCATCAATTCTTGGAATGCGTTTTTGCAAACACCATATGGACAAGGTAATGTCCCTGATTGGTTTGATAAGCTACAAGCTGTAATTCAAAATCAACAAACAGATGATGAACCTGCTGCAGAGCAGGAAGTAACTCAAGAGGAATGGATGATATTATCTGACCTCAACACACCGTTTGAAAACTCTGAACAATTACCACAATTGATACATGATTGGCATGTTGACAGAGAATGTTATTCAGATCAACAAATTCATGAAATGCCAACATGGATAAAAACAAAACAAGAGGAATTGATTATTGACAATCAGTATGAAGACGTTGACATCACCAGTTTTAGTGACATGCAAAATTTAGCTTACCGTATCGTTCAGTCTCATTTTGATGACAAATCTTTGGGCAAAGAGCCATTTTGCCTAATCATTAATGGAGTTGCCGGCACTGGTAAAAGTTATCTTATTAATGCAATACGAAACCTATTGCAAACCAAATGTGCTGTAACCGCTACAACAGGTAAAGCCGCTTATAATATTAAAGGTGTGACAATACATTCTTTATTAAAACTACCTGTTGGTTCAAGAGGTGCGAAAGATCTCACTGGCCACAACTTGTGTAGATTACAGCAAAACCTTAAAGACATTGATTACATCATTATTGATGAATATTCAATGCTTGGTCAAGTCACTTTTGGCTGGATAGACAAACGATGCAAACAAGCCACTGGCTGTTACAATAAGGTATTTGGTGAAAAATCGTTGATTTTGACTGGAGATCCTGGTCAATTACCACCTGTTGCTGATAAACCTTTGTATCATGCTAAACCGTCCAATGCTGTCGGTGACCAAGGACATCAAGCTTATAGAATGTTTAATAAAGTCATTAAACTCACTGTGAATCAAAGAGTGCAAGGTATGACATCTGATCAAGTATTGTTCAGGGATTTATTATTGCGCCTTCGAAAAGGTGAATCAACATTAGATGATTGGAAATTACTTCTTACACGTCAACCATCAAGTGTCAGTGATTTATCAGCATTTGATGATGCAACTAGACTTTTCTATAGTAATGAGCAAGTTGCCAATTACAATTATGAACAACTAATAAAATTGCAAGCTCCAATTGCTCATATAAATGCACGTCATTCTTCTGCTGTGGCAAAGAAAATGCCAGCTGATGAAATGTCTGGATTAGAGCCAGTTGTGTTGCTGGCTAAAGAAGCAAGAGTTATGTTGACAATGAACCTATGGTCAAGTGTTGGCCTGTGTAATGGTGCAACTGGAACAGTTGGTTGATATTATTTTCCAGAATAACCAGAATCCACCTGACTTACCCATTGCAGTAATTGTCAAATTTGAGAACTACAGAGGTCCACATTTTTCAGAAGAACAACCAATGTGTGTTCCTATATGTCCTATCACTGTCACATCACAGACTGAAGGTGGTTTCCATGAGAGGCAACAATTGCCTCTTAGACTTGCTTGGGCCTTAACTATACACAAAAGCCAAGGACTTACACTATCAAAGGCTTGGATAGATATTGGAAAGTTTGAAAGAACTCCTGGAGTATCTTATGTTGCTATTAGTAGAGTCAAAGCCCTCGCATCCTGCGTCATTGAACCGATGACTTATGAACGATTAACAAGCTTGAAATCTTCAGCTAATTTACAATATAGGCTTGAAGAAGAACACAGGCTAAATCAGTTGGCACAGGCAACTTGCAATTCAGTAAATATAGAATCCGTATACCATTGAGTCTCACCTCTTAAAGATTACTCTTTTCCATGTGTTGTATAATTACTACGCAGTTATTAATAATAATACATATGTTTTTTATTTCAATAATTTGAATTGCATTAATATATTTTATATATTAATATTTATTTATTGTATGTATGAATATCTCCATATCACTATTGTTAACAATCAACAAAAAATGGTAAGCATTGACGATTATCTACCATCCTTCGGCATCATTTTTTAATATTTTCGTCGCTGACAATATCTTTTATTTTAGTTCCAACTTCCACCTGTTGTTCGTGAACATAGCAAGATTTGGTGGAAACAGTGGATGAATCTCAACAATACGAATTATGAGAGGAGACGGATCTACGATATTCACATTCAGATGAGATTAACTACAACTCATTACATTCATAGAAGTACTGTTTCTTGAATGTTTACTGTGCTCAGTGTAATCCAAGGAAGCAAGTCAAGAATAAAAGGTGTGAGACGTAAACACTCTAACTTAATTAAACACTAATGTGAAGGTCCTCTGAAGTCATGTGACTTTTTTGGCACCAGAACAACTCTTGCATTGTTAGGTTAGACACACACATAAAAGCTCGAATGCAAGGCTGATTCATACATTGGACCTTTCCCCTTATAACTAAAATTTTGATCTAGACAAAAATTTCATCACAGCTTGAAAGAGCATCACAAAATTAGTAATATTCCGAAGTTTCGTAGCAAAATATATTAGTGTATTGGCATTCCACACTCAACTACAAATCGCAGTAAACACGGGGCGGAAAAAAACAGGAAAAACTTAAAGTAAAAAAAATGCATATTCTTTTCCTGCGGTCCCCATTAGCTTGAGATTTTCCCCGATGGGGGGAGGGGGGGGGAGAAAGACTTCCCTGACAGGGGCTGAAGCCTCCCCTCTAGCGCCACCCCTGAGAACATCGAATTTTTGTATGTGTCGTAGGTAACAGTGTTACAACTTATTTCAATTCCAAAATTTAAACCCAACAATACCATTTGCTTAGTTTAGGGGTTATAGGTGGGTTGAGTCTTTAAAGCACTGTGTGTGAAACCATGTAACACTGTGTAACACCTAATTGTTACAATAATTTGGGTTATTCGCTGGGTTTCTGAAAAGCGTGTACGCAAAACCGCGTGGTTACTTTAAGGTTTCCATTTCTGAAAATAATCTTTCAAACAGTCTGATATCCTTTACAATCACTGCACAATCTTTCTGAATATCGCAAAAGGACGACATATGTTGATACTGATGTGTGACATCGCGGGCTTTCATGTAGTGTACTTACATTGAGAACCACATAGCAAAAATATTTACAGTGCATGGAAAAACGCATCAGCTGTAACTTAACTTTCTTGTGGATCTACTAAAAAGAAATAGTGCGCTTCGAACAATATTTCAGTTATGAACTTTGGTTGCTTTTAAAAATATCCTCCTACTGCATGAGAGATCTGTCACTTTTTTGCTGCTATAGTTGGTAAAATCATTTTAATGAAACTCAATAACCTTTCGAAGTAAAGCAGGACCAGGGCCGTAGCTAGAAGCTTAATTGGGGGGTGTATATTCATATATTCGTCTTATGCCCGAATGATTTCTTTTGTATGCTATATTGTTCCTACGGGATATAAACATGAATATATGAATATACACCCCCCCCCCAATTAAATGGTCTAGCTACGGCCCTGAGCATGACCACCGGACTTTTGCAAACTTTTGTCTTCAAAAGTATTACTGATTTTTCATTGAATGCAGTAGTAGCAGACATTTTTATGGACAGATTGTCCATCTCTTAAATAATCTTTTATCAAAAGGTACAAGAACATCATTAAATACTTCATCGTATTTGAATACTCATGTGCACCAGCATTTATAACAATTCAATGCAGTGGACACAGTACAAAACTTCACTTTTTCCCAACAAGAAACTTTCTCCATCTTGCCCTCTGCTTTGGACAGCTATTTAGAAACCTATGACAGCTATTTAGAGGCCCGTAGGAAGCAATTTTTTATTGGGGGGGCTGAGGCCTAGGATGGAAAGTCTCACTTAAATACAATCAACCACGTCACTCGTCGACCCCGACTAGCTATAATGTTAGTGAACTATCGCTAATCAAATATTAAAAGGTTTCCAGCATTTAAAAAGACACTTGCTTTCGATTCTCGCTCGCCGCAATAAACTCGTTTCCGACTGTTTTTAATCTAATTTGTTTGTTTTATCTTGATGCATGTGAATCACCATTAAGTTGTTGAGTCGATTATCTCCTGTAGTAGATCGAAGGTATGTTTTTAGCCGTTTCAAAGCTGAAAAGCTTCTTTCACTAACTGCATTTGTGGCTGGAGTAACCAGGAGAAGTTTTGCTAGTGTAACCACTTCAGACACCAAATGTTTTTCAGCGAAGTTCAGGTTTCGAAGAATCTTCAGCGCATCTTCAATATCGACTTTGCCAATCTGGTAACCTGCATCCCGGGCAATTGACGAAAGAATCTTTAGTTGCGCTGTGAGGCAAAACTTGTAGAAATCACCATCATAAAATTCCACCAATTTCTTCAGTATGTCGGCATTGTCAATTCCGTTGAATGACTTCAAGAGAACCTCTTGTAAATTTACATAAATCTTGAAATCCTCTTGGTCAAACCGAGCTTCTATTCCAGTAATCACATGATCGTAAGCCTCAAAGATTTTTCTGCAGTGATCTTCAGGGGTTTGAGAGAAATGGCTGGCTGACCCATCGTCAAATCGTTGTGGGACCTTCCGTTTTCTCGGCAACACAGGATCTGCTATCTTGGTAAAACTCTCTTTTCTTGTCATGAGAGTTTGCCAACAGATTGCAAATCTCTCTTGATTCCGGTCCTTACGTAATACATCCAAGACCTTTGCAGCAACAGCTTGACCTTCTGCAGCTGATATTTTTGGGTCTTGGAGTGTTTTAGTTAGGTTGTCAGTCTGTCTTAATAGACACAACCCAAGGCAACAACCGAAGTAAAATAAAAACTTCTTCATGACCGTGCTTACACCGATTACTCTAGCCTTCATTGCAGTATTGTTCAGCACTGAAAGGGACCATGTCCAAAGTTTGAGGAGTTCGTCATGATTATAATTTACCAATTTCAGTGTCTCTCCTCTTGCGGTCCAACCCGTTGGACAGAGACAGTGCACCCCTTTGGCTTCATTTTCAAACTTCTCACGGGGGTGTGTTAAAGAGCCTATATCACTTGTGGGATCTTTACGGATTTGAATAGAGCTTGAAAAATTAGTTTATAAGTTCTACAACCCTTTTTGATATAGTTAAATACTTTCGGAAATATTTACATCTAAACATGACGATTTGCCTAAATATCCGTTGTGCTCAGGGGCCTGGGACTCAGGAACCGAGTTCTTGTCAAACATAATATTATCAATTGTAATTTTACTTCGATCTTCCAATAACGTAAGATATTTTGAGAAAAACTCGCCCAGTTGTTACAGCGATACACAACGCACCATTCCCGCATTTTTTTCTTGAAAAGCACAAACTATATCTCCAGTGAAACTTTACATGTTTACATCATAAAAGACAGCGTGTTTGCAAATCATTCCTGAGTCCAAGTCCCCCCAACCGACGTATTTTCGAAACTATTTAATTATATTAAAAAAGGTTGTAGAACTTATAAACTAATTTTTCAGGCTCTATTCAAATCCGTAAAGATCCCACAAGTGATATAGGCACTTTAATTTGGTATCTCGCTGAGGTGATTTCTTGACCAAGTTGCAAATTTCATAGACTGTCTCAAATGTTTCTTTTAGGCAATTAACATTAAAACAAGCATCCTTGATAGCCAGGTTTAAGGCATGTCCGTAGCAGTGGGTGTACAGCATCTTCTTGTTCAGTGACTTGAATTGGGTTGCAACACCGGTTTTAGTTCAAGACATAGTGGCTGCACCATCATAGCACTGTCCATGCGCATCTTCAATTCAAAGATTCATTCGAAGTAGCACGTCCTAAGCATAAATTGGGTGTCAATGAGTGACAATTTACACAGCTATGCACAGCACAATTTAACTATAAACAAAATTTAACTAATATTATGCACCTTCAAAACACGGACTATTAAATCAGCGGTTGTTCTTTCGATTGGATGCATTCCAATGAAACCCTCATGAGCGGTAAGTCCTTCGTCAACCCAGCACATACATATCACAAGTTGTTCTTTGTTTGACACATCAGCCGTCTCGTCAGCCATCACTGTGTAAAAGATTGAACTTCTTATATTTGATGCAATTTCTCTCTATCTTGAGGGCAAAAACCTTTAAAAAATGTGATTTTATTATATGAATACGACGTACGGGCTAGCTACTTGTGTATGCACTCCATGCAAAAATGAAAATCAAAATGCTTTACAATATGTAAAAAGTAATGTTTAAAAAAAAAACTGTATCATTTCATTTTGAATTGCTGGTGAGGTAAACTTATTCTGCTTTCGTTTTAACCACTGTGTTATTTCTGGAACCTCCTCTGCTCTCAGTAACAGCAATTGTTGGCAATTCGAATTGTG